CTGCAGAGTGTAACAGGAATCAGACATTTACATACCTGCTGCTGAGGACACCAAGTGCCATGTAAGTCGATAAATATATCAGGTAGAATTTGGGACTGAATTTCTAAAGCTCAAGCTTCTACAAACCTAAAAGTCTATGAACTATGAAGATAGTTGGTTTCTTAGTTACTTACAGATTTTTTTTCCTCTAGGAATTCCATAAGCTACTAACAATAAAGAATGGAAAAAATGAGGGCTTGGGTTGTGGCTCAATGGTAGAGCTAAAGACTTGTGCTGTGAGGCACTGGGTTTGATCCTCGGTAACACATAAAAATAAATAAAGGTATTGTGTCCATCTAGAACTAAAACAATATTTTTAAAAAAAGAATGAAAAAGATGTTGTTTTCCTCAGTTTTTTTGCTGCTATGACTAAAGGACCCAATCAGAACAACTGTACAGGAGGAAAAGTTTATTTGAGGGCTCAAGGTCTCAGAGGTTCTAGTCCATAGAAGGCTGGTTCCATTTCTTGGGGCTCAAGACGTGGCCGAACATCATGGTGGAGTGTACAGCAGAGGGAAGCAGCTCACATCATGGTGATCAAGAAGCAGAGAGAGTCCTCTATTTGCCAGATACAAATATATATGTATCCCAAAGCCACGACCTAATTCCCACTTCCTCCAGCCACATCTTACCACTTCAGTTACCACTCAGTTAATACCTGTCAGGTACAGTGCTATACTTTGATTCTGCTTGATGGTAGTAGTGCCCCTTTCTCTGTAGTGTCACTGGAAACCATATAGGGAACATAGACTTCCATTCCCTACTCTGAGGTATGTCAGAAAGCTGAGTAGGAACACTGATTTTTGGCACCTCTTAGTTGGTAACAAGCCTCACTCCCAAGAAGTATTATTGAAGGCCATGTGTAGTAGAAACAGTCATAAGCCCCCTTCTAGCTTGGTGGTATCAATGGAGGCTTAGGGCATTAATCCTGATAGGGATTAATTCATTGATATGGTTAAGACTCTCACAACCCAATCATTTCTCCTACGAACCTTCTTTCATTGTCTGACATGTGAGCTTTAAGGGGACACCACATCTCAATCATAACAGATGTCATCTGGTGCTGGCTGGAAAGAGAGAACATCAAAATCTATTTCCAAAATCTATTTCCTCCATATACAACAGTTCCCTATAATAGAAAAGGATTAATCACCAGGGGAAAGGGCTAAGATGTTTGTAATCTGAAGATACTGGTGAAACCCATTACTGGGGGTGGAAAAATGTTTTACCTTGGCTGGGAGGGAAGGAATACTTTCTAGATCCAGCATTATAGCTGAGAAGAAGAAGGGTAGGGATATTTGTGGATTATATCCCCAAAATCAAAATTCACAGTGCCTGCTTAACACCGAATCTCAATCATAACACAAAACACTGCCTGTGTTCTCTGCCTCATTTCAAACCTGTGTTCTATGCTCAAATATATAAAGGAAAAAAAAAACAGTAAAGATAGCTGAATTCTCTAGAAGACTCAGATTTTGTCTGCAACAAAACAAAACAAAGCCAAGTAGAGAAACCCAAAGATAAGCAAGAAACAGGCATCTCTATAGCAAACTGTTGCTCAATGTAAGCAAGATATCACTAGAGAAATGTGAAGAAACCTGTGGTACAATGGAGAAGCTACAACAACAACAAAGATCAAATATACTCAATCGTCTTACTAGATAACAATACTTTCAAACTAAAGACCTAGGCGAGAAAGAAAGTATACTCATCTCTGGTCCAAAAAAATATTGCTTTCTTATGCAGTATGTCTAAATGTTAAAAGAAAAAAATAAGGATGATTACAGATAAGCAAGAAAAAGCACAATCTGAAAGATTCAGTAATCATAAAAACCAAACTGATAATTATACAGATGTTGAACCTATCAGAAACGGGATTTAAAACAATTTAAATTAATATTTTAAATGGTCTAGTAGAAAAGCCTATACAATATGCAAGATCAGATACTCAAATTCAATACCAAATACTGTTAGGTAGCAGTTTGTCATGAGTAGTGGGGTCAGGGGTTTAAGAAAATACTTAATACTAAGCCAATTAGTTAATCAACGGCCCTGCCTCAGTGGCACCACAAGGTATAATAAGATAACTATTTAAATACCCTTTCCTGATCTCATAAATCATTTTTCTTACAACAGGAGGAAGATAGATAAATGCATGAGGTAAGAACCAAAGGGGATGGGTATACTCACTCAAAAGGACCTAATTGCTTAAACATCTAAATGAGACCTGCTCAAACATCATAGACCAGAGATTCCCAACTTGGGAAAGGAGAATGATTCTGACCAGAGCTCACTAAGCATAAATTCTATAAAACAAATTCTAGTTATAACCTCTCATCTGGATCAGGATGACCAAGAGTTGCCCTTAGATTATTCATATATGATATTAGTTTTATGATATCACAGTAAGTTATAGTTTTTCTCTCCCTCCTTATGGGTTTCTTTTAAATACCTATGAGCTACAGAACATGTAGTAAAAGTTTGGAAATCCAGAACTGAGAGGTAATACTCACAGTACCCTCTGAAAACTTCCCCTAAAAACCCCAATAAAACTAAAGAACAAAGGATAAAAATCATTGCTCTCCACTTCAAGATGATCTACCCTGTCCCTTGGGGGTGACTTGTGTGCCTTCTTTCTTAATAAATTTTGCTACAGTTTTACTACGTGGCATGTCTTACTTGAAATCATCTCCTGCAAGGACACAAAAGCCAAGAAAATCATGCAAATCTCTGTTAATAATACTTCCAGCATAACCACCCAATATAGAAAGAGGTTGTCGGTGGCTATCCTCATGTGTCTACAAATTGTACTTTCTCAATAAGAACTTTACATTTTGTTTTTATAAAGAGGTGTTGTTTACCTTACAATTAGAAAGGAACTAGAAAATAAAAGGGGTTCTCTGTGCTTCCTTCTGAATCTTATGTTATTTAAAATTTTCTCAGAAACTTCTAGACAAAACTCCTGAGAATCTGAAAGCAAACAGTGGAAGTTTACCAACAATTACAACTAATATATAACTTACAACAAAGCTTAAAAATGACTCACAAGGAAAATTGAATGGTGTGTTAATGGATATAAACTATAAATCCATGTAAGAACAAAAGATGTGGAATACAAGTTTTGGAGAACACAAACAAATAGAACTACTAAACATCTGTGGAACCCTACACTATACAACTGTATAATACAGAGAAAAACACACCCACTAAAATCACTGTCAGACATGATGAATTTGATTTTCAATTTTCAATTGAAAATCAAAATCAAAAGTCTATCTAGAAAAATTCCAAAATACGTATACTTCTAAATGTTCTATGGGTTAATGGAGGAATTATAAAACACATTATAATAAAACATTATAATTACATGCCACATAGAATTCATGAAATGGTGAAATCAGTTAAAATGTGTAAGGAACTATAAATTCTAATATAAAATCAAGAGAACCGACAATAATTGTTAAACTCAAAATTTTCAGAACTGTATAAATTAACCACTGCTTATAGAATTCTAGAAAGTGGGCTTTCTTTCTTTTTGTTTTTTTTTTTTTCCTTCAAGAAATGGATTGACCTGGATAAAAGCAGTAACTTTGTGGGATTTAAGACCCATTACTGAGATAACAGAATAGGAAACTGCACACAATAAAGAACAAAGACAGAGAACAAGTTCAAAAATTTCCAAGGCAAATAATTACAACACATAGCCAAAAAAAAAAAAAAAAAGTGGGATAGGAGGGAAAACTGTATTTCCAGAACTACTATTATTTTGACCATCCAGTTTCTGATTTTGGATGGGGTGTATGCAAAGAATCAAACCACTGTGGCCTAGACACAAGAAAAAAATAATCAATGCACCTATCTATGTGGATGGCTAAATGTTGATCTTGAACATACTAGAAAAATATGTTAGCTATTTTAAGTAATTTCAAACAGCAAAAGGAAATCATGTATAAATAACTAATGGAAAGTATTGTAATGATATCTCCTGAGAGAAAATATATCAATTAAAGTATAGAAATGACAAAAAGACATAAATTATGGATTTGAAAAATATGCTAACTGAAATTAAATATTCATTGGAGAGGCACAAGAAAGGATTTGAGCAGACAGAAGAAAGATCAGTGGACTTGGAAACATATCAGTTGAGATGATATGAGGAAGAGAAAGAAAAAAAAGAATTAAGAAAAATGAACAGAGCTTCAGAAACCTGGGAGACACTATCAATGTATATTACACAAATACATAATGAGAATACCAGAAGGAATCAATGGAGTTAAAGGGGCAGGAAAATATTTGAAGAATTAATAACCCTAAACTTTCCAAATTTGATAAACAAACCAACAAATATGAATTCACACATTCAGGAAGCTCTATGAACTCCAAGTAATATAAACATAAAGAAATACACTCAGACACATGATAAGCAAACAGTCATAAAAAAAATCTTGGAAAAAAAACAGGAAGAGGTATCATCCTACACAAGGAAGCCTCAATAAGATTAATAACTCATTTTTCATCAGAGATCATTAAGGTCAAAAGGTGATGGGCCAAATGCATTGTGTTGAAAGAAACTGTCAACCAAAAATTCTATAAAAAAATTAAGAGAGTTGAATAATGATTGCCTATTTTAGAAATATTTGATTAGGTAGCATGTACAGCTATGTGTCAGAATTCTAAAGGTAATTTTATGAGGCTTTTGGTAGTGATAGTGACTCTGTTCTTCCTTAATGCTAAATTTATTTCAATAATAAATATTTTCTTTGAAAAAATAGAAAATAAAGAAACCTTGCATAATATATCAAGAAATGATACAATATAACTTTTCCAAATATTCTATATGAATTCTGTATATTTTATTTCTAGGTATAGAAAGCATAAATAAAATGTAATATTTCTATTCAGCAGCTAAGTAGTTTCTTTTCAGTATTGAAAATATTCTATAGAAGTAATTTCCTAGTATTTTATAACATCAGAACCACCACAGTTACCTGTGAGCTTAAATGAAATTTGTAGAGCTGGTCTTTCTGCCTAATATGGCTGTAATTATCAGCGAAGGTCAGTACATCTGGATTGCCATTTTTCACTTGGTAAATTATATGCTCAAATCTTGCTGAAGATTCCAGTGGTTCAATTCCATAGCTGATATTTTCAAACTGCAGAAATCCTCTGAATAAAAGCAACAATTATAATTTTTTTAAAAAATGATCCCATCAAAGCTATATCTGAGATGTTGTGAGAAATTTTTAAAAAATCATAGTAAAGCACATGTTTTAAACAGACTTTCTTTTCCTCTTTGGTTTTTGAAATCTACCACTAGTTAACAGATACCAAATCTGCTTTGATTTTTCTCAGAGTTTAAAGAAGTAAATGAGTGAAGAATATTTTATAATTTCTGAATAACAACTGCATTCATTCAAGATATATTAACTAGGGTCAAATCCTGCCAGGAATCAAGATATTCACTGAGAATTTCAAGAAAAAAAAAATCTTGTTCTTACAGAGGTGAAAGTAATGGATAGCAGATACACAGAATGGAAATCTAAAGAGATGCATTTCTATGAAAATCATGTTCAGACAGCGCCAGTTTTTCACACTGACATGAGTAAATACTGGAAATCAGGTGGATAACATGAAAAAGAAGGTTTTTTTTCTCTACTCTAGACCTTTCTTCCTCTGATAAATCTATAAGTAAGTTTTCCAGCATCAGTGATGAAAATAACCTATTTGTACGTTTTGCCTATTAAGTATCTTCTTGTTAACTTATGTCTGTTAATAAACTGAGGTCATATTGTATGTGCCTATTATATTTAAATAACTAAGGATATTTTTAAAATCTGATATAATGATAGAGACCACAACAACAATATTTAGAGGGATATTGTAAAGTTTTCTTTTTTGAAAAGTATACATTTCTGCCCAGTGTCCTGGAAATGTCTCCGTTCAGGGCTCCCTGGACTGAATGCATTTGATTGAAACACTTAGATATTAACATTAAGACAAATCAAAGAAAGACCATGTTAAAAGAAAGTTTCATATTCTTCCTGATTTGTGTCCACTAGCCACTGAGTTTCATTTTAAAGTGAATCCTACTTCCTTGCTATACAAATATTCTCTAAGATGCTCTAACCTGAGGCCAGAGCAGACACTGAGTGTCACAACAGAATGTGGAGATTCTGCAACATATCCTTGGTAATGGCAATGCATCTGAAAAACAATTTAAACAGTTAAATACATGAATTCTTTCTGAATAAAATAAGGTACTATCAAACATTTCAGAAGACTAAAGATATTAAAACATTTTTAATAATTAGAGCATAAATTATACAGAATTATTAATGTAAATGCTTAGGTAAAAAGACATTTGACAACTATCTTCATACCATATGCATATCCATGAGTATTCCTTTGTACCTGGGTTTTATCTTTATCACATGACATTTCCATGTACAACTGTAAACCCTATAACAGGTCAGAGTTATACAGAATAAAACATTTGAGGGCTGGGGTTGTGGCTCAGTGGTAGAGTGCTTGCCTAGCACATGTGAGGCACTGGGTTCAATCCTCAGCACCACATAAAGATATACAAATAAAGATATTGTGTCTATCTACAACTAAAAAAATAAAAAAAAACATTTGTATCAAACTGTCAATATGGGGCTGGGTATCTGGCTCAGGGGTAGAGTGGCTTTCTAGCAGGTCCATGGATGGCCCTGGGTTCAGTTCTAGCACCAGGGAGGGGAAAAAAACCTGTCAGCACAGAACAGAATATCCTAAAGGTAATGATATGTTCATTTCAACAGAAACATATGATAATAAAAGTCTAAGACATCTGACTCTTACCATAACATATGAAGACTCAGATTGCAAAGATCCCGTTTCACTATATGTATAAACCAAAATATTCTGGGACAGGAATGAGCTAAAAGCAAATCAACAAATAAAGTTTAAGTCATGAATTCAGTACAAATATACACATTAGAAAACATAAATATTGAGTGTACACTTTTCAAACAATAACAAAATTTGATTAGAGTAATTTTAGTGTAGCACCATAGTTGAAATTCAGAGAACTGGTGAATCAGAGAAGTCAGGCTTTCTGAACAGTGATGTAGACTGTGACTCCTCTATTTAAGACATTTTCATTTGTGTCAGAATATATTTTAATTCAACAGATATTTATTACTGTACCTGCTGTATGACAGGCCCTCTTGTGCAACCAAGTCTCTGGTCTTTATGACGGTCAGAGACACATACTTCTAGCATGTTATATGACAATAAATACGGCCTTGGTGTTGTGTAGGGATTAAAAGATCGGCATGGAAAGGCCTGCTGAAAAGATGGTTACCTATGTGAAGAACAAGCTATGTGGATTTTCATAAAAATGTTATTCCAGATAGAGTTAAGATCAAACGCAAGGACCTAGAGGCACAGATATGCTTATGTAAACAAAGAACAAATATGGGCAATGCATCTGGAATAGAGTGTGGAAAGAAGAGATATTAAGATGATGTAGTATCACAGAGATGAGAAAGCTTTGGAGGATTTGGGCAGAGGAAGATAGTAGCAGAGCAACATTGTAATGGAAACAGTGCTGTGTTGGGAATAATTTACATGGCACATACACAGAAGCAGAGAGACCAGCTTCAAGGCAACTACTGCTATCTTGGCCAGACATGATGGTGGCTTGAACAAGGACAGTAGTAGTGGTGGAGGTTCGATGCTGGATATATTTTGAGATCACCTGTGGTTAAATAGTCCACTGAACCCAAGGGAAAATAAAAGAAAAAAGATATCCATGGTTGACTCCAATGTGGTGGTTTTTTTTTTTTAATTCTTCCTTCATATTTCTTTCTTTTTTTCTGAGAAAATGAAAGAGATGAGTTGCCATTCACTGAGATGATTATGAGAAATATAAATTTGGGAAGAGGAAAATAAATTCATTTTCAATATATTACTGATGTGAATCCTAATAAACACTCATTATCAAATAGTCAAATAAATGACTATGGTGTTCACAGGAGAAGAATAAGTTAAGAATATAAATCTGGGAGTATCTAACACATAGGTGGCATTTAAAGTCACAAGACTGAACTAAATAATTAGATGGTTAAATATAGATTTTTTAAAAAAGAATACTTCACCTTGAAGTATTCTAAGATTAAACAGATGAGGAGGAATCTACAAAGGAGAGAGATAGATAGAGACAAATAGAAGGAATAATAATCATAGTAGGAGCCAAACAAGTACCAAAAGTTTGTGGTTATTTGCAAGATGAGTAAGGAAAGTATTTTATGAAAAAAACACTAACCAGCTATTCCAAAAGCTGTCAACTGGTTGAGAAAAATGAAGACTAACAACTATCAAAACTCATCAACAACACTGATAATCTTATCAAGTATTTATATAAGACAATAATAATAAATATATTTATAACAAAATATAAATATTTAAAAAGTACAAACAGAGTAGTGGCTGTTTGACTCTATTTATATGAGCTATTGAGAAAATATAAATCATGATACAGAAAGTAGATAATTTCATGGAGTTATCAGTGGGACTGGAGATTAACTAAATTGACATGAGGGGTTTTACAAGGGGAAAGAAATATCCGTAAACTTATATAGAGCTTATGACTGCAACACTGCATAACAATTTTAAAAGTATTGAATTACTGTATTGTTTGGAGAATTTTATAAAAATATATTCAATAAGATTGATAAAAAAGAAATATAGGGGCTGGGGTTATGGCTCAGCAGTAGAGCGCTCGCCTCACATGTGCAAGGCCCTGTGTTCGATCCTCAGCACCACATAAAAATAAATAAATAAAATAAAGTTATATATATATAAACATATATCGGATTAACACATCATAAAAAGGATGTTACTACTTGAATTTCCAACAACCAATGGACAAGTTAACAATGTCTGTTTTCATTTCTTATATACTTAATATACTTTACTTAACATTCTTGGATTCAATGGCTTATACTTAATTAAAAATTTATAGGTATGTAGCTTATTTCTTAATTTGAAAATACAAAACTGGAAAAATAAAATACATGGCCCTCATAGAGCTAATATCCAAAAGCTAATAATGAATCCTAATTTTAAGAGTAGTTCAACAAATAAGTTTATATTATATTGTATTTCTGAATTTAAATAATGTGCAAAAAATTTTAGGAAAGTAAAATCTAAGTACAAAATTCTCTTTCCTTTAAAGGGAAAACTGGATCTTACTGTTTTCTAAGGTGCAGAGTGTAAGGTTTTCCATCAATTGAAAGGATATAAGTCACCTAGAATAAATCAAATCAATAAAGATAATTTAGTAAATCAGAAGTACATAAAATAAAAAAGTATTTTTTATCAGTCAATCAAAATGACTGATTCAACAGATTTAAAATTAACATATTTCTTAGAATTTATTATATTAACTAGTCAGAATTTGGTAGCAATAAATTAAGGAACATTGTGATTAAAGTGTAGAGATGACTTTTGGAAAACAAAATGGATTGCATTTCAGAAAAATATAAAATTTTAGCATGATTGATATTATAGAAATTGCTTATATCTAGAAATATATGCATTTTAAGTTAAGATAAATGAAACAGGACTGCAGGCTTACATTACACATCAAATACGGTGAACCAGTAAGACATGTATACTCAGAAACATTTAGCAACTCTTAAAACAAAAATCTATGAGGAAAGAAGACCTGAGAGACTGTGCGAACAAGAAGCCAGTGAAGAATGGCACAGCTCCAGGGATAAGAGTCCTAAACTACTAGAAATTGAGTAATAGCAATCTTCATCATCCTAAAGGGATGCATTAGTATTCAGGAACAGAAGTAACTATGGAATTTGACTAACTGGACCATTTCCACAAATGCAGACAGACATCTTTCCTAGAAATGCTGCAGTTTTCAAAAGAAATCTTCAATGTGAAGCTGGAACAGTCTGTAAACTTGGTAAAAAAAAAAAAAAAAAACTGGACAATGCAGCTTATAACAGGAAACACCTTGGAAGTAGGAGCACTTGAACTAAGCTATAAATAACCCATACCTGAGACAAATCTTATCCCATCACTTCCCTAGAAGTAATATAAGTGTCTTTGTCAAGTTTTAATTACTGCAACAAACACCTGAGATGATCAGTTTAAGGAAAGAAAAGGTTTATTTTGACTCACAGTTTTAGAGATTTCAGTTTATGGTAGGTTGGCTCATTGCTTTTAGGGTTGTGTCAAGGAAGAACATCATGTGTGAGGTAAAGGATGTTGCTCACCCAAGGCAGCCAGGAAGTAAATTGAAAAACAGGAAATACCCCTTTCCAATATCCCCTCCAAGGACACATACCTAATGACCTAACTTAGGCCCCACCTAGTTAAAGGTTTAAAGGTTCCAACACTTCCTAATAGAGTCAAAGGCTGGGAACCAACAGTTTAACACATGGGCCTTTAGGGGTTATTACAAATCTAACCTTTGCAGTAAGCTATCATAGCAGATCTAATGCATAATTCCAAACTGAATGCAAAACACAGAATGTGATGCTGTATTGAGTACAATGCCAATGGCAAGTATACACACACACACACACACACACACACACACTAAAAAAAAAAAGAAAGAAAAACACACAACTGTTTAACCTCTGAAGAATGTATACACCAAGAAAAAAAAAAAGCAAATCTAACAAATTGAAGAAATAACTCCTGAAAAACAGCAAAATATGATCTTGGTGTAAGTATAGCTAATACTATCTAATATTCTTTAAAAATTAAGATTATTACATTCAAAGAATAGTTAAAAAGTAAGAGTGAGTATTACATTCAAAGAATAGGAGTGATAAGATGTAATGCAATTTTATTTCTAAAACTTTCTAACATTTAATGAGTGCTTGTCATATTTATAGTATCATCCCAATAACTATAGATATTTTTAAAACGTTTTATCCTCAAAACCCCCATAATTTTCACCCTCAGAGATATAGATAAGTAACTCTCGGAAGATGACACATCTGATTATTAGGACTTGATAGACCATGTGCTTGACCACTGTATTTCACTGCTAGCTTATGAAGAATACCAGACAGTCTTACTGAGTGAAGAACAGACAATTATGGAAATGAACCAACTACAGATCAAAAGAACAAAAACAGTGTTTTTAATTTTTAAGTAAAATATTATCCTAAATAATAGACTGGATATATTTTAGGAATAAATTAATGATACTGACTATCAAAGCTAAGAAAGTTTCTGGAAATTAAATACAAAGTTATGTAAAATATAAATGAATTACTCCCCAATTAAAAGACATTGGTGGACTAGATAAATTTAAAAAAAAAAAACTATATACTATCTACAAGAGATTCATTTTAGATCTAGTGACATTCATAGGCTAAAAATGAAAGTCTGAAAAAAGATATCCCATAAATATGGGAACTTAAAGATAACAGGAGTTCTTGAAGACTTCTAAAGATACAGGAGTGTTCACACTTTGACTTTAGATCAAAAACTGTCACAAGAGACAAAGAAGGGCAGTATATAACACAAAAAGAACAATTTACCAGGAAGACATAATAATTATAAGTTTGACAAACAGTACAGCTTCCTAATATCTGAAGAAAACTGACAACTAAAAGATGAATAACGACACTACAGTAGTTAAAGATATACTTAACTTTCAGGTATGGATAAACACCCAGAAAGATCAATAAGGGAACAGAGATATTGAAGAGCAATATAAACCAATTTAACTTACAGATTCATACAGAGTTCTCCACCCTATAAAAATAGAATACTATCTTTTCAAGAACACATGGAGCCAGGTTTGGTGGAGCACTCTTGTAATCCCAGAGTCTGAGAAGGTTGAGGCAGGAGGAGGGAAAGTTCAAAGCCAGCCTCAGCAACTTAGCAAGGCCCTAAGCAACTTACCAAGATCCTGTCTCAAAATAAAAATAAATAAATAAATAAATAGGGCTGGAGATGTGGCTCAGTGGGTAAATTCAATCCCTGAGTTCAATCCCTGCACGAACACACACACACACACACACACACACACACTCTCTCTCTCTCTCTCTCTCTCTCTCACACAAAGAACTCATGGAACATCCAAGACAGAGTAAAAACAAATAGACCAGAAAACTATCTTTAAAAAATTACAAGAATATTGAAATCATATAACACAGTTTTCCCTTCCTTATGGATTGAAATTAATATCAATCCAGCAGAAAGTAAGAAAATATATAACTATGAAAATTCAACAAATTATTTTTAATTTTATTTTAATGGAGTATCATAATTATACAAAGTAATTGGATTCCTTTTAACAAAATCATATATACAAGGATTTTGATTTCAAGCTCTTTCTTCTTCTCTTCCCTCCATCATTTTCCTTCTTCAACTCTATTAAACTTCCTGTCTTCTATACATAAAAGTGACATTCTCTTAAACAATTTATTTCTTAAACAACTAATGGATCAGATAAAACAAGCAAGAATTTAGAAAATATCTGCAGATAAATGAAAAGAAAAATACAACATACCAACATGTATAAGACAGAATGAAAGCAGTAATAAAAGGGAATTTTATAGCAGGAAATGTTTACATTAAAAAACCCAACTTTACAACTCAAGAAAATCCAAAAGAAAATCAAAACAAAAAATTTAAAAAATCAAGAGATATTTTCTAAATATCAATAAAATTGATAAATTCTTTGCTTGAAAGAAAACTACAAAACAAACCAGACTATTAAAATGAAGACAGGAATAAGAAAGGGAACACTACAACCGATACCACAGAAATCAAAAGGATTATACAAAAATATTACGAATAATCATATTTTTAAAAATAGAATAACAAAGGACAAATGGAAAATTGGATAGAAACATTGAAACTATCATGAATACTTCATGAAAGTTTTTAAAAATGTGAACAGCCCCAAATTTAATAAGAGAATTGAAGACATAATTTTAAAAAAAAAAATCTCTCCCCAAAAATAAAAAATTCCCAAGACTAGGTGGCTAAATCATAAATTTCCACCAAAAATGTAAAAAGAATTAAACCAAACATCTTCAAATTCTTCCAAACAACAAAAGAAAAAGAAACACTCCCAACTGAATCTAGGAGGCAGTGACACCAAAACCAAAGAGAGATTCAATGCAAAAAGAAATTGACAAGACTATTATCTCTAATGAAAATTGACATAAAAATCCTCAACAAAATACTAGCAAATCAAATTCAAGAGCACTTTAAAAATATTATAGAATAATAAGATGAATTTATTCCTGGAAAGTAAGAATAGTTTAACATATGAAAATCAATCAGTGTCATACATCACACTAACAGAATGAAGAATAAAAACTACAGGATCATCTATCACCATTCACTCCTGCTGTCATAGCAAGACATCTCTGCTTCCAGGATGACACCTTGTTGCTACATTCTCTGGGAATCCCTGCTGTATCCTCATATGGAGGAAGGGATGAAAGGGAACAGAAGGGCTTGACTGAGAGAGCCCTTTTATAAGAGCACTTAAACCCATTCATGAGGGCAGAATCTAAATAAGTCAGTCACAATTACATAGCAGGGTTCATACCTTCTAACGCTTAATACTGTTGCTTTGGGAATTCATTTTCAACATGAATTTCAGAAGGAAAAAAAAAAGTAGTATTCTACCCCGATGCCTCAGAATTCATGTTCTCCTCATACACAAAATCACATTGTTTCCATCCCAATAGCTCCAGTGACTTGTTCTAGAAATAACTCCACGTCTAAAATTCAGAGAATCATGTATCATTTAAGTAAGCTGTGGGTAAGATTCAAAGGTTTGTTTCATTCTGAGATAAACTGCCCTCTAATCATGAACTCATGAAATCAGACAAGTGATATGCTTCCAAAATAAAATTGCAGGCCAGCTATAAGATAGAAATCTAATTCCAAGACAGAGAAAGAGTCAAGGAAAAGGAGTAACATGTCTCAAGGGCAAACATGAAGTCTCAAGGCTTGAAAATAACCTCTGACTCCATGTGCAACATGCTAAGGTAGAGACTGGACACCCAACGCCGTAAATAGTTTGCCCTGGTGGTTTTGCTGGACACAGCACACCCAGCAGCTTTAGATGGAGAGAGTCAGATGCCAGTGGCTCTTCCAGGGTGGAATTTCACACACTGATGGCTTTGTAGTTCTGAAATCTCAGAGGGGGCACTACTATCAGGACTCCACCTGCATTACCCTAATGGGGATCCTGAAGAGATACCATTCCTAAAAGTCAAATCTTTGGGCCCTGAGGCTCTCTGAGGCA